CCCACAGTGTATCTGAGAAGCCCTTCCAATGAAAAATATGCACAGAGAGTAAATCAGTATGGAATTTGCAGTAAAATATCCAGCCATGATCATTGTAAATCTGTAACCTATGTAGAACTTTCCAGATGAAAAGCATCCAATTAGCAGCTCATAATGTGCCATATTTTCTGCACCGCGCTCAAGCCCAGGAACGGGGTGATATTTCATAACTTTGAAGTTAAAAGCGTTCAAGCCGACACGTGCGATGAGACTGTGAAAATACATCCATGTTTTGCTGTTTAGTAAGGAGTCGTAGGCCGTTGGCCATTGCGTGTCCGGCGCAGCCCACCAGGGGGCATCGGAATCCCCCAGCACCCACCCCACAGAGCCGTTCCCGCACCCGGTAACCCGAGAACACGCCTGGGGAACCACTGTATCCCGCGTCAGTACATAGTGCCTCGGACTGGAGCTAGCCAGCTGCTCCTTAGCGACTGGGCACGTCACTGGGTTTACAGCCAACAAGCAGGCCCTCGCACACCCGGCCCTCGCACACCGGGCCCTCGCACACCGGGCCCTCGCACACCGGGCCCCGCGACTAAGTAGCCGCATAGCATTAGCCACCATTCCTGGGTTACATAATGCCCTCAGCTAGCAGCTTGCGGCGTGAGAAATCCAAGTTCGAATATCACATTGTCGCCAAATACACGGCGACCCAAACACGGAGGCGTGAGTCATGTAAGCGGCGATCACGTGTCGGCCTCGTACTGAGAATATGTTTACTACGTCGATATGTTTACTACATCAAAGGCAAAGAGACATTTCAGACTTAAATACAACCACAACATTATGAGCTCGAATTTCATCCTCAGGCTTTTGGAAACAGAAGAAGTGAAGCAGAATAATAGAACAGAAAAATAAAAGGCTGAAAGCTGAGTGGTAGAAGGCCCCTTAGCTCTTACTCGACAGGCCTGGGTTTTAATGTGCGTCCTGCACAGAGAGTCTCCCCAGGAGGGGTGAAACCGGCCAGCACTCAAAGGCTCCACCCCAGGAGCTCTGTGCTTTGGGCCCAGAACACGAGAGGCAGAGGAACAGAGGTCATCCCAACACCCGCAAGAGGGGCCGGATCCAGGGGTGCGAACACATCTGCCTCCGGATGTGCAGGACAAATCCTCAATGCAGACACACATGCCTAGGCATCTTTTCCCCATCAAACAGTCAGTAAAATATTACCACCGATAATAAACAAAACGCCAACTTTCCTGGAAAGGAGGACAGGATCTCCAGGGCCGCACAAACCCATCTGTCCGCTCACCTTCTCTACAAGGTCACCAGGGCGTATTCGGACCCTGGGTGGGATGCCAGCTCGTCAGTGTGGGTGCGTACTGGGGGTGGGTCGATGTGCGCACCTGACCTGATCATCTTTGCATGTTTGAGTGTGTGTGTGTGTGTGTGTGTGTGTGTGGGGGGGGGGTTGAGTTTGAACCCCCAACAAGGAGACTTATGCCCCCCATAAAGACAGAGGGTAGTCCTTCAATAGGTGAGTGTGCATAAACTGGATACCCAATAGGTAGTTTTGGCATCCCATAAATGCCGCAGGACATGGGCGGCGGCAGCCATGGTGGGCGGCGGTCTTGGATCTAACCAATGAGGCACCAGGGTCCAGCTCCCGGCATAAAATCAGGCAGCCGGCAGCAGGTTAAAGAGGGAGACCCGCAGATCCCATCAGGAATCAGCCTACAGGATTAAGTCAGTGATCAGATTGTCAAAGACCTGCGTGTTGCTCACACCTGTGACTGCTGATGCTGACCTCGTGCAAATCAACCACTTTAACTAGTACTTAGCCGGGCTGCTGCAACAGGCCTGCCATGTGTTAAATGACTCCCCCACAAGATAATTACAAACAAAACAAACAAAATACTTTACCATTATATATTAGAGTCACTTAAGAGTATACAAGTAGTCTTGAGTTAAAATTTTGGACATAGAACCAAGGATGGTCTTTCACATTAAAAAAATATAAATTACAGAGAATACTTGGTGTGACAGAAGATATTGCAGAGAGGCTATGAAACAGAGGAATGAGGATGTGAATCTTATAACATCTCAATGGCAAAATGTCCAGCTGACTATAACCATACGGNCCCCCCCCCCCCCCCCCCGCGCCACCCAGTGCAGCCCTTTCCAGAACGTCCTCCTCATTTCAGCAGATCGCAAATGCGGCTCCCGCAGTCAAATACCATCATTTGCAGCCACATGCTACATTTCCATCACCCGTCCGTCACCCGCGACAGACCAGATGTTCCACCAAGGGGAGAGACTCGGGTTAAGTGGCTCGGCACGGCCTGCTTTTGGGACCCGAGCTCACGGTCGAGCGGGTGACAGACGCAACGGGACACTTGAACCACACGTCTTAACTAACCCACAGAAAGGAATGCAACAGTCTGATTCTCACACCTTCGAATTCACCCCCCCGGTTCCCCCAAAAATGCCACCAGACCTGCTGATATTATCTCACTAGCTTACTAATACACTTACTCTTACTCTCAAAATACCAGCATAAAGCCAGTTAATTAAACACTGCAGGACGATTCCTGTTGGCTTCGTATGAAACAGCCAACGAGCGTTAATAATTCGGACAGCAGGTGGGCCGGTTCATCGCAGAAAAGCTCATTCGAGACAATGAGTGTGCTGTACTTTGCATGTAATGCGCGCAGACACTCTCCTAACCTCTTATGTTGCGCAAGCGAGGGACCAACCCAGGCCACGCTACGCTAGCAGACACCTAAGCCAGACATCAGCAGTGCCGGGTAACATAAACCTGCCCACATCGGCCCAGCTTCCTAACAGAAAGCGAAAAGCTTTTTGTAACAAGAGACACAAGGCTCTTTGGCAAGCTGTTCCCTAAAACTCACTGGTGCACTGAGAAAATCAAGATGTTTTTCACAGGAGGTTACCCAAAGAAACGATGACGGAACGGACGCAGAGCTCTACGAGCCGTGTGATCCGGATGGCAAATCGCAGTTTACAGCAGCCTCCGTCACGTACGACTTCCATCCCGACTCCTGACATCTCCTACTGGCGCAGGGCGGAGCAGATCCATTTCTGAACACAGGGGCATGTTTAATGAAGGCAAACAGACCCAGAGAGAATCCAAGATGCTGACTTAACTGTTCTGCTGTTCCTGGGCCGCGAAGGACCAACAACAACAAAAAAAATACAACACAGCTGTTATTGTCTTTTAAACGAAAGCAGCTCGAAGCTGTCACGCCCGTGAATAAAATCTTGGGTCAGTGTCAACCTGCTGCCCGCCAAAGTTAACTGGCTCAGTTATGGTTCAGCAAACTTGCAGTCAAATAATTCACAATACATGCATAATAAAGTATCCTGCCTTGCACAACAGTAAAATGTGTCTACATATCTGCATTCTCAGTATCCCAGGCCTTCTAGAGTTAAACAATACTTGTTCTGAATTTGGGGTTTTATAAGGTTATGGTAAATTGCTAGAACACAGACTAAATCCCAATAATTTACCCCAGAGGCACTCCCAGGCAGAAACTGAACTTAAGAACCACACCTCACAGGTGCCTGACCTGCCTGTTTCAAACGCTTTTATCAGTACATGACGATTCACGTACTATAAAATATAAATTATTGCAAAAACTATAAGGAAGCAGCTACTGGCAGCCTGTAGGGTGTGTAACTTGGTGGTCATTTACACTGAGACGCCTTAATTGAGGATGCGGCCGTGATTAAGCATTTACACAAGAACGGTGCAAACACGTAGCCAGAAAGGGCTCTAGATAATAATGAAATAAAATAAAAAGTTGCGGGGGAAACGAGAATCATATTAGCAAATTTAGAGACGACAGAGCCTACGGCGCAGATAACGCAGCACATAAAGCCGCATGAGAGCGTGGGGCAGTTCTGTTCACATCCACGCACTTACGTCCGCTGATCGCATTTACCCATAGAAAAATGTGACACCCCGAACGTATGAAAGGCTACGCAGTATCCAAATGACTGTCCCATGCCGCCTGCGATGGGCTCCGGGCACCTCCGTGACCATGATCAGGACAAGCGGCTGGCACAGGGATGGATTTTTAGGGATGGATTTAATGACCATCTCCTGCCCTGTGCGCCAATATATTAAGTAGCAATATGCCAGTCTGCCAGCAGATTTTAGTGCGCCCCAAATCACAAGACACGAAGCCGCAGGTCCCACAGTGAAAAAAAACAACAGGGAAACATAGAGGAAAAATATAACAAGCGCAGGCAAGTTTGTACGCCGCGTCTTCCGGGCGCAGCAGAAACAGCAGATATGCATGATAGGAGGGGACACCGGTATGACCCAAATAATCCAAGGCGTACATGCTGGGAGGGGGCCAACTTCAGCCTCCTCCCTCACTGCCCTTATTTAAAACAGTCATCAGGAATGGGATATTATTGCATTTTTGTGACACCGTCAAGCAGTCCTGGCTCGATACTTATGCCTTAGGGATTCAAGTACAGGATGAAGAAACCCAGAACTGAACTGCCGTAAAAATGGGGCGCTATTTTTTTCTGGGGAAAATTTAATCAGTATGATTCTAATAGTGCATAAATGACCCCCTTTCCCCGTGCACGTTACTGAAATAATAAAACATCTACAAAAGAACGCGCACAGGCTGTCAGTGTATCGCGCGCCACACACACACACATATATCATAGGCTATATATATATATATTTATATATATATATATATAGAGAGAGAGAGAGAGAGAGAGAGCGAATAATAATAATAATAATATATAATATTGTATATAATACGATAGCTATGTATATACAGCTAATACTACAACTTAGTGGTACCCAGAAAATCCTATGAGAAACAAGCCCACTACTGCAGATCTAGTCACTGGTTAAAGGAAATCGTTTCCTTAAACAAGACGGCCATTTGCTTCCTGTTCTTTTTTTTCTTTTTGCTAGACGTGATGTCTGGAAACAAAATTTGTAAAATTCTCCATCAGAAGCAATTATTTACCTGATCTAGGGGGAGGTTGATCATCTCGCTGATCGGCTGGAGCAAAGTGGATCCCGTGCACGAAGATCCGCTTTCGGTGGCCATGGTTTTTCGGGGCTGCGTGAATCCTCGCTCCGCAGTCCCTGGAAGAGTGGATCCCCGAAGCACTCTCTCCTCCAACTACAGAGAGCGCTTTCCTAAAACTGGCTGTCAACCGCGCCACAGCACCGCCGACAGCCACATACTCCTCACAACAACAAAATAACACACACGTACGCACACACACGCGTGGGCGGAGACATTATCACATCTCCAAAGATTATAGGCTACTCGTTGTTCACTCTAGAATATTGAGGTAATCCAGATCCAATGAAATGTGCGCATTTCGTGCTATACTCTTGAGTGACAAATTGTTGGCCGAAACGGAACTTCGATTTGCTTGTTCGAGCTCCGCCCACTGAGCGTCGCGCGCCGCCGCCTGCCTTTATAAAGTAGGCGCTGCTGAGGCGCGTCCTCGGGGCGTTGTGTTTAATGACTGAGTTGTATTGTCTGTTTATTTATACTGTTTAGCTCTAAAAGCTTATTACTCAACAACATGTATCACCTTAACTTAAATGTCGGTATATTTTGTACATCACTTTATGTTACATCACTACAGATGGGACGTATAATACCCATTGTGTAAAGAGATTTAAGATTAGTCGGTGTATGATGAAGGATTTGCAGTTAAATAGGTAATAAGTAATATATTTAATATACGTGGTTCTCGACGTGGTTTCCTTATGTTACAGTAAGTTTAAGTGGACACAAAGAGTTGAGGAATCTTATGAGCTCGACCTTGCACGTGTTACTTAATTAGGCTAAATACTCTGACGTTGACTAAAAGCCCTTATTACTGTCTGACTTTACAAGGTTTCCTTTACATTCGTGCTATTGATCAAGGACGCTGGAAAATGTATGAAATGCAAATCAAAAACCATTGAAATCGGTCTGGGAGTTTGAACTTGGGCGCTGTGTGTGAAAGTGTAAAGGGTAGAGTTTTAATTTTATGTCATTGGTTAACATCACGCAAATATTTATTTTACGTTTTATAGACTTATCTTTCCATAGAACGAGGCTTTCCTTGATTTAAAAAGAAACACCACTGTAGTCGCGATATACTCGTTAATTTCTCGGGTATAACCAGAGAGTTAATTACCTATTGAGAATAAGGCAGTCGATGCCTTTGAAAAGCAGCACAGGTTAAGCTCCCAAAGCAGCAGCCTAGACTTACAGTATGGGCCGTCAGCTATGACAATGTTAAAAAGTTGAATTTTGCAAAGAAGATTAAATTCAAGAAATGCCTTAAATGTGTCTTACTTGCACTAGGCCTTTATAAAAAACCAAGTCAAAGCGACAGAACACGTTTCTTTAGTCAATGCATTAGTTTTTTCACAGCATATCAGGCAATACTATCAAAAACGACCATACTGTATTTGTGTTCAACTCCAACACTGAGTGAGTTATCAGTATTATTATGGGTCTGCATTATTTTAAAATAACATGACTAAAATACACTTCTTTCGAAAGAAATGTTACTTTCAGTAATGTTACTGAGGAAAAACTCACGATGCAGCAAATGTTCTGGGGGCTTTTTGGTGTAAGTCCGCGTGTTTTACCTGAGACGGCGCACCACTGCCCCCTGCTGTATCATCGGAAGCAGTACTTAAACCACTTTAAATGAATTAATAAAGCGGCACAAATTGGTGCCTAATCGTGGTCTCAAAAACAGAAGATTTTTCCTCTGTTTGTACGTCTCTTACATATCAAATTTGCCTTTACCAGTTTTTCCTTTGCTAGAGAAAGTAACTAGGCCTAATCGAAATAGCTAGTCGTATACTAACAATGTTCACCTGTTCATTAGCTCGTATTTTGTCCGCAGTTATGCTACAGTTATTCTTATCTATGTGCCTGTTTATCTTTCAGTCACCATAATTGGTGAAGTACGTCCGAATAGTTACGTAATGCGTTTTTGCTAAGCCAATGCACAGTTTGTATCATACTTTATGTAATGCTTATGTTCTGCACTAGCATAAATGTGCAGTAAAGGCAGATCACTGACAGCCTGTCTTATAAACGACAGAGCCTGCCTCAGCGACATGAACATTTAATAAATAACTGAAAATAAAAATAATTTAAAATGGGCTGTCATAAAAATGGGCCTGCATAAAGAAAATAAGCAGGTAGGTGAAACGGATGAACAAGGCTATAAAGATAATGACAATATTGCCCAGTCCTTAATTACAGTATATTCTGGGCTTTCCATTTATTTTTTACTGTATAAAGTATAGCAACCAAGTCAGTGCATAATTACCGATGTTTTTGTTCATCAACAGGTTCGTAGACATTGTTAAAGCAGATGAAAAACTCCTTTAATAAAAGGCAATTTAGCCGTTAGTATTAAATTATGGTTTCAATAACAACAAAAATATCAGGAATAATAAATAACAATATGAACAGAAGCCAGTAAATATTTTCAGTTTTTATTTTAGTGCCCTAGTACAAAATGAATACGAGTGTTAAATTTAATTATGGTGATTTAATTATTTACTTGAATAATTCATATATTCGTAAGTTCTTAATTGCTCCAAATTACATCACTTAAAGTTAAAGTGAGATGTTTTATTACTGTAATTGTGTTTTAAATGTTTCATTTTAAGCCCCTGTACTTTGCTGTTATACAATTATGTTATAACAGTACAATCATTGTATTTAAGGGGCTGAATGTGCGTCTATGTTTTATTATCTCATTTATCTGTGATTGTAATAAGTGCAACTGTATAATGCCTGGTGTTTTTCCATTCGTGAAAATAACTCCTTATAGAAATTTCTCTCAAACCGGTTATTTTTTCATAGCCAGGATATTGAAAAACCCCATATGGACAAAAGTACTGGGACACCTGGCCAGTACATCCAGAGGACTGTTATGACACCCCATCCTAACTCTTAGGTATCAATATAGTGTTGGTTTGACCCCCCTCTTTTGCAGCTATAACAGCTGCCACTCTTCTGGGACGGCTTTCCACAAGATTTTGGAGGGTGTCTGTGGGAATTTTTGCCCATTCAGCCAGAAGAGCATTTGTGAGTGTTAGGGATAGCGTCTGGGAAATAAGCACAAACACCGTGAGATGGGGTAAACGAGGACATAACGCAAGCATGAAACGTCAATGACTGGACAGGGGCAAGACAGACACAGAAGCACTAAATACACTGAATCAATTAACAACAACTAGACACAGCTGAAAACACCGGGATTCAACATGCGGTAACATGGGGATGAGAGGCACAGGAGGATTGAATGAGCAGGTCATGATACTGAGGTCAGGCACTGATGTTGGAGGTTAAGGCCTGGCTTGCAAACTCTCCCAAACATGTCTGTATGGACCTTGCATTGTGCACTGGGGCACAGTCATACTGGGACAGAAAAGGGAGTTGGGAGCACAGAATTGTCCAAAATGTCTTGGTATGCTGCAGCATCTACCAAACCCAGACTCATCCATCAGACACCAGACTGAGAAGCATGATTCTTCACTCCATAGAACATGTTTCCACTGCTCCAGTGTCCATTGGCAGTGTGCTTTACACCACTCCATCCGACGCTTGGCACTTTGCTTGGTGATGTGAGGCTTGCATGCAGCTGCAAGGCCATGGAAGCCCATTCCATGAAGCTCCCGGCACACAGGTTTTGTGTTGGGATCAATGCCAGAGGAAGTTTGGAACTCTGCAGTTATTCAGTCAATAGAGCGTTGGCGACTTGTACACATTTTGCACCGCTGGACCCAGCAACCTTGCTGTGCTTCTTTACTTGGTCTGCCAGTTGATGGCTGAGTTTCTGTTGTTCCTAAATGCTTCCACTTTGCAATAACACCACTTACAGTTTACTGTGGAATATCTAGCAGGGGAGAAATTTCATGGACTGACTCATTGACTCCTATGACAGTACCACATTGAATTCACTGAGCTCTTCAGAACAACCCATTCTTTCACAATTGTTTATAAACCTGCATGGTTAGGTGCTTGATTTTATTCACCTGTGGCAATTCGTCTGAATGATACACCTTAATCCAACAATCAAGAGGCGTGTCCCAGTACATCTGATCTATGATGTCTGAAACATTTCATCCACAAGGGGGCGAATAATTTCAGTTCCAAGCTTGAACAAACTGATTTTTCTGTTATTTCATACATCTAAGCTCTCAAATCGCTTTGTTCCAAGGTTAAAAGGAGTCCTTTACGAAACTAGAGGAATACTTTCCACATTTTTGCTCTCAGTAGGATGATTTGTCCAGATAACTGGAAATACTTTTCGTTTCAATGTGATATTAAGATTATAATAATTGTTCCTTATTAAATGAAACCTTTTCTTACTGGTTTTACCCACATATGCAACATGTTGAAACTTTTTAAAGGTTCCTTTCACAGTTCATATCAAAATTCATTTCCATCATCTATCCATCCATCCATCTTCTGTAACCGCTTATCTATCCATTCATTAATGGGAAACCTGCCCTAACATCCACACAGCCCTAACTTTACCATAAGTAATCATACAAAATATTTTGACATTATAGTTTTTTGATTGCATTCACAGATCTTTGTGGGGACCTGAAAAATGGTCCCCGTCACATCAAAATAGCAGGTTTCTATTACATTGTGGGGGACAATTGGTCCAATACAAGATTTTGGCATTTTTACTTTTTTGATTTCATTCATAAATGTCCCAAATTGTAAGGAAGTATCAGGTTTTACTACACTTTGAAAACCTTTTGGTCCGCAAATGTCATACATGCAAACTCGTGTATACCATGTTTGTGTACGTCTGCATCTTCGGTGAAAATGATTTTTTTTTCGTCTTGTTTACAAACGGCAGGGGGCGCCAAATGAATGAACAGCTAGGCATTGCTGGAACGACCGATCGTGAACTTCAAAGTTAGACCTCCGTGTGAGGCAGGAAATGGGACTTCACAACAAAGTTTGTTTCCGAGCAGATAGTTTCACATAACTGAAAAAGTATGGTAAAGATTCAAAATTAAGTATTTCGGTAAACTCTTTTTAAGGCTCCCATTGCAGATCTGTAACAGCTAAATGAGGTTAAAATGAACTGCCCACGGTATTATCGATGCAGTGCGTTCGCAGCTGGATTGTCGATCACGGATGCGTTTTGTCACTCGTCTCGTCTCCATGGCGATAAGAGCTTGTCGGAGTTCTGTGATCGCTAAGAAAACCCCGCTAGACAC